ACAGTGCCCATGGAAAATATACAGTCACCAAAGTTTGTTACACTTCATTGTAAGGTAGACAGAATCTGTGTACTTCATTATAAGGCAATTCATCAAATACGGTCTGGCCGAAAGGGGAAGACAGAGCGAATAAGTTTCAACCCGTTTTACAAAATTCTGTCCCTGTGCTTCGTCTCAATAGCAAAATACCTTTTCCTCTCAGTCCCCACTAAAGAGAAGAGCCCAAAAAGAACAGCGGTGCTCAGTGTTTGCACTCAGTCATTCGGAAAATACAATTATTCTCCTTCCCCTCGGCTGTGAAATTGCTGTACAACCGCTGTTAAACACGCCGCAGTCATAATCACTGATAAGAGATGCATGGGGCCGGGCCTCGACAGCCAATACAATATGCAAACGACGCCCTGCCGTTTTACTCATCTGGTTACCAAGCTGCATTAGAGTTTGTAAAGATACTCGGGGATGGCAGCAGATGTGACAGCTGTCAGAGAGCGGCCTCCTCTTTCCACCTAGGAATGCTTCCTGCAGGGGTAACGGTCAGGGATCCAGAGAGGGCGTGGTAGACATAATGAGTAATTAAAAATAAAACATACTGGAGACAGAAAACTAGATGGTGTGTTAGGTTCATATGGGAGAGCAGTAAAAGGTGACTACTCAAGAATGGTGTTCATCAGCCTGTAGATGTAAATACCTGAAAATGATTTTTTTGGAGTTTGCTTAGCTACCATGTGTGGTTCGTTGTGAACCACAACTTGGGAGCAGAAGTGACAAGAAAAATGCAAACGAATCAGGATTGTTGGGCCTCAGCCATGTGCATGGGACGAGAGACTCAGGCCTGTATCACAGTTCTCAAGCCTGTCTAGAGTATTTTGGAGGGAACTGAACAAAGGGGTCTTAGCCCAGCAACCCCCCAACAGAAACCAACGAATAGGTGTGAAAAGTGGGGGGGGTGTTTGAATTCTCTATCCTCATTGGAGGAGGCCTGAGGTAAACCCACAGGCAGCTCCAGTCTTTAAAAGCAATCACCAGGCATTGCTTCCTTCTCTTCAAGTGTGGTCTGCCGACACCAGAGGATACCCTCTCCATATGATGGACTCCAGCATTCGAGACAAACCCTTTCCTGCTCTTCAAGTGTTGTCTGCTGACACCAGAGGATGACCTCTCCAACAAGATGGACTCCATCATTCGAGACAAAGCCTTTCCTCCTCTTGACTTACATAGGTTAAACTCCAGAGCTGAGGTTGCTCAGTATTGGTAGCTCTTTACATGCTGAATTCAAGCATCAGAGGATTCAGCTGACTACTTCCACGGCATATTTTTAGGAGTTTTGGGCGCAATCAGATGCTATCAGGTTCGAGCAAAAAGAAGACTTTCTTTCCTTTGATTTTTCGTAAGACGTCATTGAACGCAACTGGACAGGAGCGCTGAAGGAAGCCCACTGATCCCTGAATCCACAAGGACACATAAAGAACTCGGCTCCTGCAACCAGAAGACCCTATAGAGCAGCGCTCTGGTCGAAGATCTGAATCCCGCTACCCTCCTCCTACATCTGCCACGAAGGAAACCTGCCTGAATCTGTTGATTTAACATTCAGCAGAGTAACGATCTAACCAACTTTGCAACGATCACCAGGAGTTACCCCAAGTAAGAGCTTTGGTCTGGGCAGAAATAGTTTCAGAAATAGTTATGTTTCTTTTATAACCACTGATAATTATGCATCATTGTTGACGACACGTCACATTCTGTATATTATCTGTTGTAAGCTGCTGTATTTGTTTTATTGTAATGAACTGCTGTGTTCGTCTATGTGTTTAATGCTATGCTAGTTTACCTTCAGTCAACGGCTTTCACGATCAGAAAGACCAGTGTACCCGCCGTTGAATCAAAGTCCGGCCATTGGCTTTCTGGTGTTTAAGTAACAGTTACTGAACTCAGCTCAGAGAGCTCAAACTATTTCAAAAGGTAGCCACACGGCTTCCTTTGTTGTCCACCATTTTTGTCACCATGTGACGAAGCCACAGGGTGCATTGTCTCTCTCCACCATCTTGTTCTCTCTCTCTCTCTCACACACACATCTACATACACACTCATCTGCACACACACACATTTACACCTCATCCACAAGCCTTTGCTTGATAATGTTTGTTGCTTAGATTAGTTTATAATAGTTATTTGTTTAATTAAGTTCATTGATGTTGCCTTGTTTAAATAAATTCTGTTATAATTTAAGAGAGCAGTTGTTTGTGATTACTGGTGTATTTGCATTGTGATATAAGCTGGGTGCGAAGGCTTTGTGTACGGATTTCATGCCTTCAATTTATTAAATATAGTTATTAATTATTAATAATATTAGTAATTAAATAACTAATGTGAGACTGATTTGAGTGATATTTTTGTTATATTTACCTGATTACAGGTTGGTGCCCCAAAACGAGATTAAACATAGTTTAATGATATTTTATTTATATTATTAATAATTAAGTATAATTATTAAAGAATATAACCAAAGTTGACTTGATACAACCCCAACAGGATCAACCAAAGACCTCTGAAAAAAAGGTAATAACATTTATTCCCACCCGAGAAAACAAAAGGGGCAAACAGAAGATAAGGGGCTGTTTGGTTGGGGTTGTTGGTGCTGTATAAACTCAATGATGAAATCGTGAAACAGACTGTGGAATATTCTACCGTCAAATTGGCCGAGGTCAGACAGTTACAACAGAACACAAATTGTTAAGAATCACGAACTGACAAAGTTTCTATGTTGACAGACTTGCTTATATTCTGAAGGTACAGCCTACAAATTCATGTCCACTTTGGTACATCTCTATAAGGCTAAAAAGAAGACATCACCTTGACTCATAAATGTCAGACATATTCATTTAATTCTATGTAAGCAAACCTTTGCTTACAACAGACAGTTGGCTCCAAACCAAATATAACTCTGAAGCTATGAGATGCCTTACATAGATATGGTTACAGCTTCAACCTAAGAGAAGAGTTACTGTCAGCTGGTAGACAGATTTAAGTGGTTCTTTCACAAAGTTATCAAAATGTATGAATTCATGAAAATCTGTCCTAACAGGGGCAGAAAGTTCTTATCATGAAGCATCACTTATTTAGAGTTTCATTTCTATTGCCACACATTTGCATGACTTCAAAATAAACGTTTAGCAGAAAAGTTAAAGGTGGGGTCAGCTGTTTCCTTTTATCAGTTTCATTATGACGTCTCATGGTATTGTAACTCAAGTGGTCTTAGAGAGAATTAGACTTCTGCTGCTTGTCTCTGCTGTGTTTCAGGTTTTAGAAAAGCTAACCTGTGATGAGAGACTCTGAAAGGGGCCAATCACAGCTTGTTTTAGAGGGAGGTTGTTCCGATTCTGTTTCAGACAAATCCACAAATACACCCCTTGAGCTGGTGAAAGCCTGACTGAAGGTCCTGCAGAAAATAGTTGGTATTTCAGCACTAAAAAAAGACCCTAACTGTGATGAACCAACATTTTAACTGTTTACACCCCAAGGCAACCAAACAGTTATCACAGAATTGGACATAAATGCTCTGTAACATTCGTCCGTAAAGCATGGAGCATGATGCCGTGGTTGGGTAGAATTCAGTGATCGTGAATGAGGTACAAGCATGCCCATGTTTTCATACAGTAGGTCTTACAGGAGTGAAGCTGCAGGGAGAATGCTGAATATTTTAAAATGTGACCCCTCTGTGCCTTTTCCCTGCCTACTACACTGGCCTGAGAGGGCATTGTTATGTCATTTGAACGCACCCATTATGCTTCCCATGTTGTTGCTTTGTTGTGGAAGTCTTTGTGGACAGAACTGTGAAGCCCCAGTGGCCTAATGGATAAGGCACTGGCCTCCTAAGCCAGGGATTGTGGGTTCAAGTCCCATCTGGGGTGGTTTACAGCAGAGTGGCGCAGCGGAAGCGTGCTGGGCCCATAACCCAGAGGTCGATGGATCGAAACCATCCTCTGCTAAAACAGTTTTCCTGCCAGCTGTGCAGTTGTTTTCCTCACAGACCAGTGTCATTCTGTATGCAACAGCTGTGTATTGCTACTGGGGTATTGGTTAATTGTTTTACGACTGTTCATTGATATGTCTTCTGTGTCTTCTCTCCGTGCTGCACGTAGAAACGTTTGCTAAATCACAACACTCGGATTTCATTAGGGAACTAGCAACTCTCATATTTTACAAAGAAATTTATCTCACAACCTCCTGCCAGAATCAGCCTGAAGGCCGTTCTAATAATACAGAAAACAAACACATGTAGGATAGGACTTGAATTAAAATAAAGTGAACGGCCTTCACTTCAGGGTTATTCAGACAACTTGAGATGGAGAGCTGCAGCAGTGGCTTGTTATGTGGAACAGCAGGAGGTGAACCTCATCATGTTCAATCTGGCCATAGACATAGAAATATGTCTCGCACATCTTTAGAAAACCGTTTCTGTCCTAATGGAACATTTTTTTATGTAATAAAAATGTGATTGATATCCGACAAAAACAGCTGTTAAGCTCTTCAGTAAAAATCCCCCTCAGGGCAAACTGCACTCCTCTCTCTCTCTCTCACACACACACTCTCTTGCTCTTAAGTTTAAAGACAGTGAATAATGGTGCACAGGACAGGGGGAATAATACAGTAGGTTTGTGTATACAGCTCTACAATAATACACCTCCACACCGCTGTATGCGAGTGCAGCATCACAAAGAAAAGACAGCAGTGGGCTGAGAGCTCTGGGAGGCAGCTGAGATCCAGCAGTGGGTGGGTTCAGACAAACAACTAAAAGAAGCAGGTCTTTCTCTTTCTGCGAGGATTCTCTCCCTCTCCCTCTCTCTCTGCAGATATATATGTTTGTTGTCTCCATCTGTGCCTCTGTGCAACAGTAACCAAGCGTAGGCATAATGAGATTCATGTGCAGAGACGAATATCAACAAGCTGTGCCAATTCTCACTCACTAAACCCTGACATAATCAAACAAACCAAACAAGCAATCAGATTTTTATTACCAAATGTTTTATTAGAAAATATTTTACACTCAAATCCAAAACAAACAAAGCAGGTAAAGCGGCAGAGCCCAGGGAGGGACATTAAGTTTGCAGATGTCTGCAAAGTCTGTCTGTAATTATCCACAGTCGCTCTGGAGATATCTAATTTTCTCTGTTTCAGTCGAGCTACAATCCTCAGCTCTCCAAACTAGACTCTGACTGATTCTACAGTGAGCAAGTTTACATGCACAGCAATCACTGAACCCCTCCTGCACATTCAGATTCTGCTTTTTAGATGATAGATTCATCGATTTAGACAAAGTAAATCAGGTTTTTCAATGTTTTTGTAACTAAAGAATTTGTAAATTCAAACTAGTAACCACAGTGTTCCTGTAGATGTAAACATGCTCACTGACTTTATTATGTTACAGGCTCTTGGTGGATGTGACCTTGATGTTCCCACATGTAAGAACATATTCTTTGTGTATTAGAGCAGAAGAACACATTTTTAGAAGTTCTCAACCAGGTCCATGATCCTCTTCCTCTCGGCCTCTTTGAACTCTTCACTCTTCCCGTCTCCGATGCTCTCAGCATACTCTGCAGAAGACAAAGAGGAGTCAGTGGGTAAGTTGACCTGACAGCAGAAGTAATGGAAGTTTGGCCGTTGAGGCTACAGAGGAACGTCTTGGCAGCGAGACAGCTTCAAACACAGCGGTGGATATGAGTCGGGGGGGGGGGGGTAAAAAGGTTTGAGGAAATGGCCTAACAGGCAGAATGAGCTTTAGATTCCTTATTACCAAAGTAATGAGTAAAGAGTAAAAGCTGAGGGTCTTACATTATTCAAAAGAGCACAGACAGATTAGGTGGAAATAGTGAAGAATCTAAAAAGCAGCATTCAGACTAATTGAAACTCAAAAGGATTTTTCTTTTGCTAAAAAATACAACCAAATGATGAATGTGTGAAAAATGTCCTTTAGCTCTTTCTCCATAACTTGCTCATAGCTGTAAAAAAAAAAAAAGAGCAGCTTATAAATAAACACATCCTTTTTGTATCTGTTTGGCTCCACAAAATGAGCCTGCATGCATTTGGTTATGCTATGACATGATTATGTATGAATGATGATTATGATGTATATTATCAGCGGCCCAGGTGGACATGAAGGTTGTCTAAAGCTTTGGTTCCCAAGCTGGGGTCCTGGGCCAAAGATCTGAGGGGGGCACAGTTGTGTCTCGATTGTGACTGCAGCTGCTGTAACTGTGTAACTTCCTGCAAAGGATCCATCCATCCATCTACAGTCTCATGCTTTCGTGCCATTGCCCTTTTTTTCGGGTAATAATGCAGCATTGTTCAACAGTAGCAGATTTGGGAAAGGATTATTTCTTTGTTAATTTAAAGGACACAAAATTAAGAAAGTAAAGAAATGCATCGACTTCAGGGTTAAGAGAACTCCTTTCAGTAGATTTCATTCTACCATGTCTAAAGTACCTCTAGTCTGTGCATTACTTTGAAACAAAACCTCTTAGCACAAAACCGTCCTTGGTAAAAATGTCGGGAGGTCCCACGTCGTCAATTGTACAGAGATCCACTGTGTGTCCTCTGGCCGTGAACAGTAACAGGTTCAGGTGTTCTGTGTAGCTCTCATACTTCATTGTGTGCCTGTGAGTGTTTGACTGTTTTCTTCATTTGGTACGCTGCCTCCCACACGAGGCCTTCGAGACCGCCGAACGGTCGATTTGTGAGTCTAATGTGCAGAAAGAGAAAGTTGCAGCTGCCGCAGCCTCGGCAGGCCCTGTGCTTTCTCTCTGTCTCTCAGCCAGCCTCTGAGGCAGGGATTACACATTAAACCCAGGGATGTCGAGACAGAAAGATGAAAAAGACTTCTTTTCTCAGGGAGACACTGCAGAGAGGAGAGAAAGAAGGGGGCTTTCCTGACAAGAGCCCGCAGGGTTTAGAAGGACGAAGCATGGCTGTCAGAGACGCAGAGGAGATTTTGTTTTTCAAGAGGGGGAGGGATGTTTTCATGTTATTAGATTGTACATAAAGAGAGTGACAGACATAATGGGACTGAGGGAAGGCCTCAGAGATACTGTGGAAGAACACAAGTCGTCTTCATTAGTGCTGTAACAAAACAGTAAAATACTGACCTAGATAATTAAACAACCAGGGACTTATTTCTGTTGTCATTTGCAGATCCTAGCTGATATATGGGAACATGATGCAATCTCTAAAATGAGGCACGACTGGAGAAGAAAGAGAGGCAAAGATGATTGATCAAACATGATGTAAACAAGCCACCGGTGTAGCCTGCTTATCAAAACTCCTTTATTTAGAATAAAACAGAGGGGCGTCCAAAAATGTGCACAGAAAAACAAGGTGCAAACTAAGGCTAGTGTTTTAGTCAAGACCACAACCGAGACCAAGACCAAGGCCATTTAGGGATCGAGACCTAGTTAAGACCAAGACAATATCAATGAAAAATCCTCATCTTGTGTGCAGCAGGTGTATCACTCACTTAGACCGTAACACCGGGAAGGTTGTGGCTGTAACCGAGGAATACAAATCTAATTATGAATCTACCGAAGTGATTTGTTCTTTTTAGAATGAGGCGTTTTCCTTCTAATCACAGTAATGACGTGGGGGTCAGTGGTGGTGATATAAAATCCAGAGTCCGCCCAGTCTGAGTCACAAGACCTTCAAAAAGTGGTCTCGAGACCGGTCTTAAGACCAAGACCGATTTCAAGTAATACAACACTAAGTAAGGCACTAACAGCAGGCTTCTCTAAGAGAGGAGAAATTGAACTAATCTTTAAAAGTGTAGCGGACCTTAAGATGAATATTTGATCAAAAGTGGAATGTGAGCAAGCAGTTAGTGTAAGAATTTGGAAAAGGGCTTGAAGCCGACATTTTGAAAAGTTAGAGCGTTACTCTCGATTCCGCTCCAAACTTACTCTGGTAATTGGTAAACTGTAAATAGACTTGACCTTTTATAGCGCTTTACTAGTCGTCTTCTTCTGCGCTTTTACACCACATGTCACACCTACACATTCTCACACTGATGGTAGAGGCTGCCATGGTAATGAGTCCGTCAGAAGTAACTAACCACATTCATACAAATTCATACACACAATTTGGGGTTAAGTGTCTTTCCCAAGGACACATCGGACATGTTGCTGCAGGAGCTGAGGATCGAGCCCTCGACCTTCCGGTTGAGATTTCTTTAAAGTTTTCAGTTCTGGTCAGAGGAAGTGTGACAGCAGTTCACTGAGGACACAGAGCGCAGAGGTCACTCCATTATTGGCTCTTTTGAGGAGAGTTGAGATAATAAAACATGACAAAGGAGGGAGTAGAGTTAAAGAAGTAAAGGACTTATCATTATCTCGACAAATGGTGGTGAAGGTTTTCTCCCACACAGCTTCCAGAGCAGCCTTGAAAAGCAGCACCAGGGATGTAACCGCAGTAAACATGTCAGAATTTTAGGATTGACTGAAAAAAGCTGGTAAGGAGACACAAGAGAGCGACCCGACAAAAACATGGAAAACCTACAGCCTCTTTCATCAGCGGCCTGTCATCGTGCTCGTGTTCCTGTGTGTCTCCATGTCTATAAATGGCGGTGCAGTCAGCCTCACAGACAGAAAGGTCAGAGATTCAGTGACTCCTCAACTCTCTGCAGAACCTTTTCTTTGGCATGCTGGTACTCTCTCCTCCTGTCACCACGGCAACGCGGCAGAGGACAATACTGTACTGAGCATGGCCATTACTCAGGTCAGTGACTGGGACTGATCTGCCATGAGTACAAGGAGAATCATTTCCAGGAGCGGTCTCTGCAGCAGCAGCAGCAGCAGCCAAGGATGGGGACACACTGTAGGACTTATAGTGTGATTAAAGCTGGAGCAGGCACACCACAAAGCATTTTAAACACTGTTATTCCAACCAGTCTGAAACTGGTTTGATCCAGCTGCACGAGGACATGTGGCACGGAGGAGTCTGTACTGTGTTAATCCAACCTTCAGAATGTTTTCAAAAGTCCTGATTTACTGATGTAAACGTGGATTAAAAGAAACATAATTGAAGTTTTTTTTTAGGGTTAATGACATGACGTTGTGTAAATAAAAAGATAATAAATAACAAGGATATTGAGTTTGTTTAATAAAATTACAAGGTGTTGAACTGTTCTATAGAAAAGGTATCCTTAAATTACTTCTGTTGTGATCTGGCGCTATATAGAAAATAAAATTAACTTGATCTTCAAGGAGGGAGGGGGGTGCCGTTTGGGCGCCCTGTAATATAATGGTAGGGGAAACACTGGTCTATGCACCGTGCAGCAGTCACAGTATAAAAACGTCACTCCCCACCCTATTGGCTCGAGGTGAATTCTCCGGAGACCGAGTGGATCATGTTTTTGTCCGTAGGTAATATTTCTTAAACAACACTTCATTTTACTGATATTTTCTTATGCTGACAGTATGCAAAAACAATACAACGATACACAAAGAAAGGCAATGACCTATTTGAGTTAGAGCATACAACTAGTGTCAGAAACAGTGTCCTTCTTAGTGTTGCTGTAATAATACCAAGAAGACCAATCACAGGAGTTGAAGTCCATTTTGCTGCAACATTAAGTAACATTTTGTAGGTTTACATCAGGCTACAGCCAAGGGTGTGCAGCTCAAGTGTAAATCAGGCTCTAGCGTGGGGGGCTGTGTCAGCCAACTTAAGTCACTTTCTGAAGCAGACAATTCGACACCCACTTCACGCTCGGCTTGGACAGCTGTGTGGAGGTGAGAAAAGAGCCGGGGTATGAACTCTTCTCTCAAGCTCTCTTTCTCATTCTTGACACAGCACACCTTTCTACAGACTATGAATGTCTTCCAGAAGAGACGGATGGAAAATGGGCACCGTTGTTCGCGCATCAAAATAAAATCCCACTCCCCCTGCCTCAGTGACCACTGCAGTTTCCCTGCCTTCTACTGTGGCAGTTTGGATGAGCTAAAAAATAATAAAATAGACAGCCTTTACTGTCATAGTATAAAAAAAATACGAGACGGATAGAAAAAGGACACTTTCACCTTCCAGAGAGGTTCAACAGCATGTAGTACAAGCTCCTTCTGTTTGAGCATAAACGGACCTGGTGGAGCTTGTTTCTCTCCCTGATTCCAAACATCTGATAGACTGTCCACTAGGAAGTACATTTTACATCCCCTGAATGTCCTTCATTACTATTCTGGTTAGAGCACCGTTTCACACCGTTTCTCAGAGCTTCATCAGCATTACCTTAAAGACTAGACAAAGAGTCATCGTCGGTCATTCTGAAATTGAGAAACAGTTACATGTGAAACTGTATTTTATACACTCAAAGAGAGGAAATGAAAATGTCCTCATCATGATTGTGCGAAATCTAACCACCTGTGACATAACCTTCCTGAAGATCCTTGAGCGGAAAACCTTTATTTCTTTAAATCAATGTTGTCCTTATAATGTGCTTAGATGTTCTTTCTGCTGAATTGCTTCTCATTCATCGGGTTAAAGACATTAAGGTCAAGATTGCAGCGCAGGCATCACACTCTGCATGTGCTTGAGCTGTGATCCACGCACACATTCAAAGAGCAGAGGTGTGGCAGCATTATACAATGCACATAAAACATGCATATGTAATCACAAATTCAATTTATGACAAATAAATAAACCAGTCACGTCAAGATCATGCAAGGACAAGACCGGGAAAGATTAAAATTAGTATGTGTGATGGGCTGCGTTCAAATATAAACATGCAAGGGGACACATGAATACAAAGTACACCCTGAACATGCACACATCTGCATAGACCTTCTCTTAAAGACACGGTAAACATGCACATGAAAGCCCATATTAATATGTAGACATGTGAATGGAATCATTTTGAATGTGCAAACAAAAATCATGTTAGTAAACAAAAGTGTGGTGTGGAAGCTACCCAGACAAGCAGGACATGTGTGTATGTAGACAAAGAGATGCAAACAATAGTAACACACCAGCACATTTAGGAAACACATTCCCAAACACACACAGACACACAGACTGGAGATTTGCCACACTCCCTGGCACCGCCATGCGTGACGGATGGCTCTATCTACAGAGCTACATGCCACTGAGAGCCAGAGGCTGTGTGAACGCAGGCCCGTCCTCCAGCTTCAGCTTCCCGACAATGATACAGGAAGGATGGATGTCACTTTGGGAGGAAAATAACACATCTGCCAGCTCTTTGAACACAGAACAGGAACAAATGCGGCGGTACAGAATCTCTTTACAGAGACCGAATGACAGCCCCTCGCAATTACAATGTGATTATTTCACAAAGCATATTTGCACAACAGGAGGCGTTTATGTTTCTCCATCTGTAAGCAGAGTCTGTACATGAAGAGCAAACACAGGTGTAGATATCTTTATGTACAGTACATGGCTAATGCTTGATTTTCCTCAGTTCATTTATTGCCATCATTACTTTAAAATGAAACACATTTCCTCCTGTATCCTCCAGCTCGTCTCCTAATAACCACAAGAAGAGGGCTGCGACCAGCACTGCTGTGTCAATGTACCAACGCACACATTTTAGGGAGGTAAAGAAGGGATGTACGAGACAGAGTGAGAGTTACATTTCGACACAGCATTTTTAAAATATGCCCGAGCATTTTTCTATTGTTCAAAAGATTAAGAAAAAGTGATGTTTTTTTTCTTAGCATTGAATTTTATTCCAGCACAAGCACTTTGGCAGACCAACAGATTGGGCTCGCTATCAAACCCCAACCACAGCCAAAGAGCAGCGATTAGAACAACATTCCCCCCCAAAGGGTGCTTCCCTGCCAGGGCGAGACTTGGAGACCGGATTTATGAAAATGTGAGCTTCTTTTTTTTTTCTAGGTAGAAGAGCAGGAAGTGTGTACTGATTTACAGCAATCCTTTCATATGTCATGCTGATTCCCTTTCATATAAAGGATGTATGATTGTGTGTCAGGGCTAGAGAGTAACTAGAGATTCAGTTTACTCAGACATGACCACTTGGTCTTGGGATGTTAATAACCGCATCCTAGGCAAGTTGAATTATGTGACATGTGAGATAACTGACAAAGGGACTTTATTTGAGAAATGCTGCTCGTAGAAACACACTTCCTCTCTATTCCCCCCCACCATTATTTATTTTATTTTATCATGTTTTTTTTTTATAATCAAGTCAGTCTGTTCACAATGCAGCCATATGTTTGCACTTAATGTTACCATTTAAAGTTACCAGCTGAGTTGGAGGGCATTGCTTGTTGTGAAACAGCTGCATACAGTTTTGAAATAACAGTGCAGAGAACGCAGAGCAGAGAAGAATTGGTTAGAAATCAGTCAAGAAAACAGCTTTTCTATTAAATGGGATAAAACACTGGGGGAGCATGACCTGTTTTACATCTCATCCTGAATCAATAATTTATTAGAAAATGTTAAAATGTGTAAATTAGGAGGAATTCATCATGAGAGCCATTATAACACAAGTACAGGTGATTGCTTTTTTTTTTACATTGCTGTCATTTGAAGCTATTTTTTCCCCAGAGCTGGCCATATATAAGTGCGAAGTGTATTTGACGAGTGGAACAAAAGTGACTCACCTCTCATGATGTGACGCACTACTTTGACGGAGCCTCCTCTCAGGTTGAGAATTTGATGGACCCTCTGCTGAAGCTGAATTCAAAGAAAAGAAGGTTCAAAGTCCAACTGACTCATTATAAAAAGTACAGATTATCTATCTTTATGCAGGTAGCTTTCCAGGAGGACAGACACTAAAATAAACAACACCAGATTTACAGGTGGATAACGAGCAGGGTTGCTACATCCATATATTTTTTTATATATATATATATATATATATATATAGTATTTGAGCACTTGGATACTTCTAGTCCTAATTCGAATCAGTTGTTTTTGTACATATTGGTGATGGTACAACTACTTAATGCTTAATTACTTAATGCTCATACCATCAAGCTAGGCTAATTAACCTCAGCTTTCAGAAGCTAGTCTTGTGTTGCAAGTTTACTGCTAACAGCTAATGTTTATGTTTTTATTGTGTACGAGGCAAGGGAAATGCAAAAAATGTGTCTTGCATTAAATGTAGCCATGGGCAGATCTTCATCTACTGTCTCTGGGTGATGGCACCAAGGATGAAAGCGATAAAAGATCAGTTGTTGAGTTTTAGCAAGGCAGAAAATGCTTACTGAAGGAGCACACTATCAACAACCTCAACATCATTTTACTGCTTCTACACCCTCTCTCATCAGAATGATTATTCAGAGGGGAAAACTCACTTTATACACCAGAGTGTGTGTGTGTGTGTGTGTGTGTGTGTGTTTACCTGAGATATTCCTGAGTTGCTGATCTCCACCATAATGTAGCAGATCAACTGAAGGACAAAGAGTCCAGCGTCCAGGCGGCGGAGGTAGAACTCGTCCTCCATACCGTCATCCAGGATCTCCCCCCTCCGAACCATCTCCTGCGGACACATACAGAAAGGTGAAAAGCTTGTTTGGAGGATTGTTATACCCTGCACAGCGAATAAATCACAACAACATTTTGCTCGGGGGTTTTATTGTTCTTTGAATACTTAAAACAGATTCAACAAACGCAAGAAAACGAAGACTAAGTTTAATTTAAGTTTTGTTTTTCAGCTTTTTTCCACAAATCCATTTTCCTCATTGACCAGACACACAAATCAATTGATTTCACGGCTTAACAGCAGAAAGGGAGGGCAACGGAGTGAGGGCTCACACACTCACACATACAGAAACGCTCTTGCGTAGTTATCCATCTTAACAACCCTGTCAGTATGCCAATAACACGGAGCTGCCAATACGCGCAGAGCCTGCATTAATCATCATTAGAGATTAAGAAGCAGACCTGAGGGGGAGAGCAGAGTCTGAAGTGTAAGCTGCTGCAGTGGTGCAGAAATACTTGTGAGGGTAAAGGGTGTTGCTGTCACACAGTTTTACTTCCATGTTTGAACAATACAAGTCAAGGCCGTCACCAACATGCACGATGTCATTTCATTTATTTTATTTATCAGGGGAGAGCGTGCAATGACATTGATCATTTAGACAAAGATGAATGAAAAGATGGTTGCACCAGATTTAGGGAGTGTAATTTCAATCTGTCGTCATCACATAAAAGTGACGCAAGACAAACTATGGAACTCCACTTAAAGGTCTCATATGGTCCTCATTTTAAATCAGTTTAAATAAGTCTCAGAGCTCCCCAGAACATGTGTGTGAAGTGTCTTGTTCTAAATCCACTCTGATCCTGTATCCCGTATTGTGTCTCATGTCTATAAATCCCTCTATTTCCGCCCTGCTCAGAACAGGCTGTTTTTGTGTCTGTACCTTTAAATATGTAAATGAGCTGTGTCTGACCACGCCCCCTCTCTGGAAGGGCTTCGGGTGTCTCGGGCTTTCTCGCTCCATGTCCTATTGTTGACGGTGAGAAGGAAGACTCAGAGGGCAGAACAAACACCTAGCTGTGGGAGTGTCACCCACCTGGGGGAGGGGCTACTGCACTTTGTGATGTCATGAAGGGAAAATCTCCATACGGCATGTTTGAGCACACATTTACTGAAAAGTGGAGCAGGGAAAAGACGGAGAGGATGGACTTTTCTTATAATTGTGGGGTTTGTAGACAGACTAGAGACACATTATTAGTGTTAGAAAAACACGGTGAAGTGTGTTTTGTAGAATATGTGCCCTTTGACAAATGACAATAAATAAAACACACATGACAACACAAAGTACTTAATGAAATGCTATTAACACTTTGCATTGCAATACGGAAGACAGAGCATAAAAATGTCACACAAATGTAATCACATGGCCTCTGTTTTGCAAAAACAGTAGGTAAAATAGGATGGAATTTTCTTTTGAAATGGCATATACACATATTCACACATGTTTAAATGTAGTTTATAAGCTCTGATGACCTTTTATAATCCACAATAAGTTCTTACTTATCTTTACTGTTCATGTCTTCACTTTCTCTCAAATATCATTTCATTACATCATACCAAACATAAACTAGCATGAACTAAAGAATGAATATTTCTCAGTTGAATTCAACAGTCTGTTCAGTTAATAAAAAGGTTGATGGTGTCACACAACATATAACAGTTATATTGCACGTTTGCCTTAGAGAATCCTCCAATAAGACTTATAGGACTGTAAACTACATCTTTATTGGTTTCATTCGAGGGAAGGAGAAAGAAGTAAAGCGTGTTACAGAATGTGACACAGTCTATGAGGAAAAAGGGCAACTTCTCAAGGCGTGGCTAATGAAAACAAATAGCTTTCACCGCGGAGCTAAAGGGTACCACACATGACATTTACATCCCAATGATTTAATCTCAGAGAAAATTAAAAAACTTTCAAAAGGCCTTGTCCTTAAAGATCAATGACACTGTAAAAGCCAATTATAGCGGTGAAGTTCAGCTCATTAACACGCCTCAATCAAAGGGCAACTCATGAGGACTAGATCACTGGACTATTCTGGGGAAAAGCTGCAGGTTTCAAAGCTGGGACAGAGAACATCATATATATCCTTTTCATGACATCCTTGGGTCCATAAAGGATGTCTGGCTGCTTTAATAATGTCCTCCTTTGATAGGATAAAACAAGCAGATACAACTTTAGAACAAAGCTGTAATGTACTAAATCAACAGTGGCTTGTTAAAGATGCAAAGCAGTGCAGCTCATTAAAACAAAATAACTATAATAAAGCTTCTGAATGTGGGGCATTTGTCTCTCATGTGGCCTGTGGGGCAAAACATTGTCCCAGAATTCTGTTTTATTACGAAGCAAAGTGTTATCGCATTGTAAAACAGTCCCGAAGCTTGGCCTTGCTGCTGTCAACTAGCTCTCATTAAAGATGCACTAAAGTTGAAACAAAGCTATATGAATGTAAACTGTGTTCTCTCTCTCTTTCCAGCGAGACAAAAAAAGAAAGAAAGATTATCTCTGTTTCCAGGACAACTCTGCTCATTATTCAGAGCCAATACAGTAGCTTGAGGCAAAGTTACACAAATCTCCCAATCCAACTTCAGCAATGCGCAGGATGGGGGCCTACATGGTGCATAGATAGGACGCCGTAAATACATGCCCTTCCCCCTTAGGGAAGAGTGGAAAATATAACAGTGTGCGTATACCAAGATTTGCAACACAAAACCATGTGTTGGCTTTTTCTGTCATTGTTTACCACAGAAGGTTGTTCAACCTCATTAGCGTTGATGGCCACAAGTGCAAAGCAGAGCTATCATTGTGTGAGAGGCCTTGAACAACTTAACTCTGTTTATCAAAATGTTTCCAACACAGCGACTAGCCAATCAGATGCAGAGATGGAACTCCACCCCCCTACCAGAAAGACCAACGTGAGTACAACTTTGTCTATGACGCATGAACTGGAAAGACTAAATAGTGAACAGTTGACTTAGATCATCTTCTTGATCCAGACCCATGATCTAGACCTCGGCTTCTACAGCGAGATATGTCTTTTACTAAACATTTCCAAGAAGTGTACCTGATCTGAAAGTTTAGAATCTTAGCCATAGTCTTCATTTTTTAATGGTATTAATATTAGTCATTGTCCACAGTAAGTTTCACATGGGACACTTCTCTTTGTAGCAGAAGACTTAAACTTGACCAATTGACGTCAAGCATAGATCACAGTATAGAGGGTAGGACAGTTTTCTATTGGACACAAAAAGAGAGGTGTACAAGCCAATGATAGCAGAGCAGGGTGAGGCGAGGCAGTTTTTCTATGGGGGGGAAAAGGTGTTTTCTGTACTTCTTTGACACCTGAACAAACTGTTCCCCCATATCTTTTCCATAGCAACAGGTGGACACGTCAAAGAGTGAAAAAAAGACAAACATTTTTAAACGAGGTCTGGAAAAGTCAATTGCTGCAGCCTCCAGGGAGCCTCTCAGTAATGAAACAGAGGGAAGACGCATGATGACTCAAGCCAGACCTTTGAGTGTGCATGGGGAGCGAAAGGTTTCGGACCATGACAAGTGCATTAAATATTCATTATTGTGAGCAGCAGAAGTGGACATTTGGGATATTAAAACCCGACAGTGTGGCAGTATTCATTACAGCGAAAGAATTTAGTCCACTCGTGAGTTTTGACACTGCGGCCAATACCTTTTGTGTGGCAGCTCTGTCCCTCTGGCAAACGCTGGACAGAAGAAACGAAGAAAGAAAAACGTGTTGAAAAGAAGGATTGGACAAGTCAATTACCGCAACCTCAGGGGAGCCTGGCAGCCTGGCTACAGTACAGACAAAGAAATACGCAGTGATTTTCAGTCCCAGTCCCTTTACTGTAACCCAGCTACCTTGTGTGTTTGTGTAGCCAGGTGTGCATGATTTATGAAACACAGTTTGTGCAGTGCAAGAGTTATTGTGCAGATTTCAAGCCATCCACCTGTGTGTTACACAGGTCCAAGAAATGTTTGTGTGTCTTTGAACAAGAACCTCTCTCTGTGCGCGTGTGTGTGTCGATTGTTCTTATTATGTGCTTTCTGTTCCAGTGGGATGCTTCAATTCAGAATTAAAGTGAGCAGCACTTTGGTACACTTACACCCTCACAGTGGGTGTTTGCAGTGTGTGTGTGTGTGTGTGTGTGTGTGTGTGTGTGTGTGTGTGTGTGTGTGTGTGTGTGTGTGTGTGTGTGTGTGTGTGTGTGTGTGTGTGTGTGTGTGCTCTTTATGAGGGCGGCTTTAGCAAACACCAGAAAGAGAGAGGTTACATATCCTCATTAAGAAAATAAGATACAGAGTTTGATAATGAGGTAAACTTTGAAAGAAAAACTGAAACTCTGTGAGAATGCAGGACAACATGCTGAGTTCAAGTGATGATAATATCCCAAAAAGGGGAACAGCTGGTGCTGTAGAGTCTGCTCATAAAGTCGAGCAAAGCCAAACAGAGAGTGTTACCAATAAAAAAGGAGGCACTTGCTACCAAGATCATGATGTCATTCAGTCTTTGCTAATCACTCCAAACTTTGAATTGCTGTAGAACAGTTTTTATGTGTCGGGTCCAAAAGCTGCATTCCTATTCCTGATCTTTGACAGCTTGCTTCAGACTGCCAAAATCTGGCCAAAAAAGACATGTCAAAATACAAAAGATGCTTCAGACATGCTAAACCATGGACACTGTACCTGACGCCGAGCCACCACCATCAGACTGTGTCGTCCCCACAACCTCCGCCGTCCTCATTCATGCTCGACCTGCTATGACCTCCACCTCAGCAGCAAGGAAGTGTGGACAACAGGAACGTGAGGAATACAAAGGAGAAATCCTTCCTGCATCTTATCCGATATGCTCCTTTGATGAGACGCTGTATAAATAATGATTGATTGACTGTGGGCACAAGTCTGTACTTTTAAAAACAGAAATTTCTGAAAGGTCAAATTATAAGTGTGACTAAGCTCTGCCAGGGACTCTCTAATTCACTGAGTG